GTGGCACATAAGTAAAGTAATCTAAGAAATGTAGTCCAATTAAGGCAAATTTTACATTTGGCCACGTTCTGTAATTATCAAGAAAACAGATAACTAATTTAAAATTCATAAATTTAGAAAAATTTTATTTAAATTAAAAGTTTGTTTAAATATTTTAAATTTTATATTTTTTATTGATTTTTTAAAATAAATAATTACTATTCTTTTTTACTTCTGTTCTATCATAATATATATAATATTGAATATAGAAAATATAGATTAATGTAAACGATATATTACTGATAATTGCTTCGATGAGAGGACCAAATATCGTTAATTAGTGTTTCTTGCGACACTGTGTTTTTGCAATCAAATATCTTTATTTGTAATCGACCACCTAATTCGGGAAGTTCAACGTTAAAAATATCCAATGTCTGTACAGAAAAAGAAAAATGATTTCAAAATAAATAGAATAAGAGAATAGATAAAAAAATTATTATTCATTATGGAGCGATAAAAAGGAATTGTTGAATTTTTGCTTCTCTAAAGATTTCTTTTGATTATTTTAAAAAATTATTTATAGGTTCGTTATATTTATATTTATAATATCGTTAATAATAAATTAACTAATATATAAATTACAAAAGAAATATGTCTATATATAATATTTACCTGCAAATTAGGAGAAGGTAACTTTACAACTGTATACGATACAGAACACGAACGACAAATTCGCTCCAACTTTGATTTAACATTGGCGCCTCTAATACTCGTAAGCGTTTTAGCGTGTACTGTAATTCCTGTTTTAAGATGTTCTGCAACACAGATTTTTATAACGTAAAATTAAGAGATAAGTTATAAAACACGGCAAAAGTTTAAGTAGGGGAAGAAGAATAAAATAAACGAGTAAGATGACGATTTGTTAATTTTTCTAAGCTAATAATAGGTAAAAAATTGGTGATAAACTTACTAGATTTTTAATGATAATTTTTAATAGATAATTTATTGTAATTGAGTTTCTATCAATCAATGGCAGATAATAAGAAATATATTTTGAGTATATAATTTTACTATTTTTTTGTAAGGAATTACAATTATAGTGAATATATTTTTTCTATAATACTACTATATAGTATCTCTAAAAATGCATATAATATTATATCATTTTTTTCATTTTCCTATATTGTAACATTTTTTTGAATGGATGTCATGTCAAAAATTAACATAATCATAAATAATTATTTTCGTTTACTATTTTCTTAATTTTTATTTTAAGTTTTATTGTAAAATAATATAATTATATATTATATTATAAATAAATATAATTATATATTATAATCATTTATTCTGTTCTTGTGTATTCAGACTTTATTTTCTTAAAGTTACATTATTATAAATCTAATATCTTTTATTTATAAATACTATTTAATTGTTAAATACTATTTTTTTATTTTATTGTGTTATTTAGACATTGTAAATAAAATTATGTAAAAATTTCATAAAAAAATTAGTTTTAACTTTCATCATCTTATACGGGGACAAGATGATGCAATTGACATATTTTCAAAAAAATTTGAATTGTGTGTATAAAATTCCAATTTATTTATAAGCTTTTTAGTGTTTGCAGATAATAGACAAGACCTTAGCTAATAAAAAAAATTGATCATTATTTTTACATCATTTCGAAAATCAGAAAAAATCGATAAACTTTAAGGTCTTATTCCCCTTTTTTCAAGTAGTTTTATCTTATAAGTAAAATCTTATTTATTAGAAAAACTGGACAATAAATATGTCAGATTTTATTCCCCTTTCTCCTACTTTTTCAAGTAGTTTTATCTTATAAGTAAAATTTTATTTGTAAGAAAAACTGGACAATAAATATGTCAATCAGTGAAAATGAAAATTGTATAAGTCGCAATTTTTTTTTTAATAAAATAAGATTGTTACCTCCTAGGTTATCATATGAAATAAATGGTCGTTCTTCTAAACCAAGTGTAATGTTAATAGGAAGATATCCATGTAGCGACTGAACTCTTTCAGCGCTATGCCACAAATCAATCAGCGGATTATAATTCTCTATTATTTCAATACCATGAACAGACGTACTAAAAAACAAATGTCAAATACATAAAAGATCTATAAACTTATGCATAAAACGATATTTTAATAATTTCTAAAACAAACATGTACAAACACAAATGCATATAGTCTAACCGTAAAATAATATGATTATTTCGTCCAGGAAAATCGCGTGTAAAATTTCCTCTCATCGAAAACAAAGATGTTCCCGTCATCGCAAGTCTAACATTAGTACCGAAATCGCTCACTTGCATTGATTCTATTGATAATGGCACATTTATACGTTGTTGATTAACGTGAAATTCCATATTATAATATGTCTGGTATATGTTATCCGACAAAGAAGACAAGTCTAGAATAATCAAAATATTAATATGATAAAATAATATTACTTTGATAGAGCATGTAATATTATATATAGTTTCATGCGATTATAAGTTACAAACTTACACTTTATTCCTTCAATTATATTTGTTTCATTCCAATGAACACACAATACTGTTTTTTCTTGAATACGCGTAATTATTTCTAAATGCATAGGACCCTTTTTGCGTTCATCCAACTTGAATTCCTTCAGAATATCTTTTATGTTCGTCGGATTTTCAAACGAAGCTGCTAATGAGTGAAAAATACCCTCTGCTTTGATATATAACTAATATTATAGAAAAAAAAGATTATATAGATCGATGCGATTTTAAAATAATGCAAACATTTTTGAAAAGTATGTTACTTACGGACACATGATTAATATGCACTCCACTACCATAATTATTTAAAGTCACGTAAATGACTTCGGGAATATTCGTAGACGGATTGGCTATCATAATGCCATGGAGCATAGCGCCAAATCTTCTCAAGGAATCTTGATAATCAATCAAATAATTACCAGTGGTAAGATACTCGCTATTTGGTGGTTTTCGAAGTATACGGCTAAATTGTGCTGCAATTTTGCTTCTGTAAACATCCGGCAGTAGCAATTAAAGATATACATAAAAATGAAAATAATATAAATTATTAATATTAGACATTTACGCATATTTACATGCGTTTATAACAAGGGTACGTGGTGCGTTCCATAGATTTAAGCATCGTATAAAAGTAATTGTACAGATGTTGATTGGGTTCATCTTGCATGTACCAATATAGAGATGTCAATCTATTAGATGTAGGACTGGAAACAATGAGCAAAGTTAACGCAGCAACTCTCATTTCCAAATGCTCGGTTCTGTTGAGCAAGATTGGCCAATACACTGGATAAATCTGTAAAACAAGATTATATAATTCAATGTGACATATGATATTTAACATTTGAGCCTGTGTAGAAAATCTGTAAGAGAAGTCGCTTACAACATCAGGTCTTAACGGTGCGGTGGGAATAGAAGCCCAAGCTGCGAGTACTCGAAAATGCCGCGACTCGGCATTATTGCCACTAGCTATAGGCTCTAAAAATTCAACAACTCTGCCCAATTGTATATTTGCCAAGCCTTCTAGCCAGACCATCTTTTGCTCGTACCGAGTAGTTTCTGTAACATGTATCGAATGGTATCAGTTCTATCCTATAAATTGGAATGAAACAGATAGCGTGGTATAAATTGTTATATGTACCTGTAAATTTATCAAGATACAAACGCACGTAATCATCCAACATTTCGTACGGACAATACACCAGACAAGTTTTGTATATTAACGTTCCATAAGTGAGAATCGCGGTATTTTGCACCTCCGCGCAGGTTTTCGCACTCGGCAGTGTGAGAAGTGGTTGGAGATTGACTAGCAATTGAACATCGGGTTTTCTTATATGAAACGGCAGCCGCATAAGTAGCTGAATCGCAGATATGTCAGATACTTTGTTGTTCTGGATAAGATCCAGTATGAAAAGCGCAGATTCTTTACTTCCAACTTGCGGCAGTGCTTCGAGAAACATGTTTCTGTTACGATAAAACACAGAAATATAAGAAATAGAGAAGAGTAATAGCAGGATTGGATAAGTTAATATTGTGTTTGAACTAAATCAAATTAAAATTAAATTAAAATGGCTTATAAAATTAATCTAGTTACGTTAAAAGTTACATGAACAAAAAAATAACTCAGTTACAAGTTGCGTTAAAATTAAATTAAATTAAGCTAAAAATTAATTTTAAAAACATTATTTATGTTAAATTAGATCTGTAACTTTTTAAAATTTAAATATTTTAAATGAAAACAATTACAATATGGATCATCAAATAAATTTAATATCTTATCTGTAAGTTAAGTTTATATAACAAAAAATATTATTTTTTTTTTTTAATATGGAAATGTTTTCTTTTACAATTTTTTTTTCTATAAGTAAAGATTTAACTTAAGGAAAAAGTTAATAAGTTGAAGTTAGTGTAGCTTTAAAAATAATTATTTAAAATTATAAATTAACTCATTTAAAATTAACTAAGTTAAGTTAAAAAAGTTATTAACTTTTTAACTTTACTACTTTAGTAGTTAACTTTTAACTTTTTAACTAGTTATTACCCAACTCTGGATAATAATAAAAATAGCAAGTGATAATCAATGTACCGTATTGTTTCCTCTTTATAACTAGTTCCCGAGATTCGAGTATAGGCTTTTCCCAGATCAACGCGATCTAGCATGCCAAGGTAATAGAGAAGCACAGATATTGTTGTGTTGTGCAGATTATGAATTTCGGTATCCAAACCGGGATTTTCGAGCCTGTGGCTTAAACGATCTAATAAACGACTTATCTACAACAAGTTGATGAGAATTTGACTGGAACAACAAAATGGCCGAAACGAAGATGAAAACAATAAGCTTACAGATTTAAAAACAAAACTCTTATCCATTGTGCTTCTACCCTGTGTCAGATCTGCTTCTGGTAGTTCATGTTGAAGGACCGTAGTTCGTGAATTATTTGTAGTTATCTTATTTATTATATCCCTCACTGAAGATAATTCAATAGTTTGCCTAAAGAGAACAAAGAATATTTTTATATGTCTATTCATTTAGGATAAACAAATGAATACAATGTATACATCTGTGAAACATACTGAACAAAATGATAGTGCGCTTCCCCCATACTTTGAAAGGGTTGAACGTAAATACTTCCAGATGCATTAACGGAAATGATATCACGAGCAGATCCATCGGTTTTCAATTTATATATTCTCTCACTACTTTTCAGAATGAGATTCTAAACAACAATGTGCCATTGTTATACATATATCCACATTAGCATAATACAATTTAAAAAATTATATTAATTAAATAAATAATCGATCAACGTGGCAACGTACTTGATCCTCATCAGTGCATTGTACTTTAGGGACATTCGACCAGTCACGACTTGGATGCCCGGTACACATCCGAGGATCTAACGACTTTCTTATCAAACGTTGATTTTCACCTTCTGGACTTACAACGTAATCGATATCACATTTTCCATAATGATTTATCTGCAAATTATAATTTCTGTGTGTGCTGTTGCTTTCCGCATTTTTATGAATATATTATTTATTAGTGTATTTGTGTAAGTGCCGTTTACCTCACTGGAATGAAATGCGACTGCTTTTTCCAAATTAGGAAGATCCAATTGTAAAATTCCAGCTATGCTCCGTTTTATATTCGTCGCCCATACAGGTTCCGCTTCTGTGCTGAAATTCTCGATGAGTCCTTTGTTATACGATAAACGGAAAGGTTTTAAAAGCTCCAAAGCATCATCATAGATATCGATATCTTTCGCTATTTCTTTTGTATTTCCATTATGCACGTTTGTTCTTAATGATTGCAACTAATAAAAAAATATTAGGATATTAAATTACGATTTAATGCATTTTATTAAGAAATTATATATTATATGAGTCCTAAAAATTCTTTCTAAAGATTCTTTCTGCGAAGAAAAGAAGATAAAAATAAAGAAAATTATAAGTATATTTTATAAGAATACCTGTAACGTGACATAATCATCTTCTGCCTGAATTATGAGTTTTCCCTTGAGGCTCCACGAGGAAGCTGCATTGGAAGGCACTAATACACCAGTGCTTGATATAGCATTATAAAAATATATATATTCCTTCCCAGTTCTAAATAAACTTTGCGCAACATTCTCAGTACTTAAAAGTAAGAATATAAATAATATTCTTCCCACTCCTTGCGTAAGTCCGCATATAAAATTAGAATCTGAAAAAACTTTCTCCTTATGTGATATTTTTCACATCTAACTTATCATTTAATGCCTTTCATTCACTAGTCTTTCCATTTCTCCGCATATTTTTTGCAATTATTAAAAAACTTTTGTAAGGGATATAAAAAAGTAAGTAACATTTTTCTTATTATCACATAATATTAAAATTAATAGCAATAAATATTTCGATTTTGATAATGTAAGCTTTATCATGTATCATTGTATACCTGTGAACCTCATGATGCGTGATCGTAGCTCGGCGAAAGCAAACTGAGTTCACACAAGTCAAGGAATGACCCTTACCAGTTCTTATCACTGTGACCTATGAATACAAACACAATCGCTCACGTACATATATATGTATATACATGGAAGTTATATTCTCTCGGCACATTATCTTCAATCATACGGATTGTATGTATATTATATTATCGTTGACCCTTTTTCTTACAATTACACATGCATATAAAATATGTATACATCGTAATTTACGCGTATTTGGATTAAAGCGTGTGCAATAAAGCAATCCATTTTTTAATTACGTTCAATAGGCATTAATAATTTGTAATAAAATTTATAAGTATCGCTTTATCGCTTTAAATAAAAGTAAAAATTTTAAAATATGCTTAAAATACATAGAAATTTTTTTTTAGAAATTATATGAAGCTTAATCTTTTTGATCTTTTTTTATTTTTTTCGTATTTATTTCATTATTATTGTTATTGCAAATAAAAGGTGAAAGAATCTTGCGCTTGATATACAAGTACATTATCTATCTATATTATCTTTAGAAATAGCCAAATAGAAAAGTACACGTTTATGTAATATATTGTCTTTGTACATATTAGAAATTTAATTAACTTACATATTTTATAACTAAAATATTTACTTTACTATAATATGGAAATGTTTTATCTAATTTTATTATAGATTACATTATGCATTGTCATTTTTATGTTGATACAGAAATTTAATATTCTTAGTTATGGTAGCAAGTATATATATATAAAATTTCTTAAAGATAAGATTCAAATATTTACAAAGTTATTTACAGATTTATTTTCTGCTTATTTATTATGTACAATCATATGGGAAGTATATCATATATTGTAAGTTATGTTTCATTTAGTTTATTACTATACAAAATTGTATCTTCGTATTATATATTTAACAATTTACTGAGATGCATCATGTACAGGATCCTATTGTTAAAATATATGTATAAAATCTATTAACAAGCACATTGGTACTAAAGCAAAAAAATTTGATGAAATATTACTGACACATAGATATAATATGATTATGAGGGTTTGATTATTTTCAGAATGGACTTGGCATATTCCCAGGCTTCACTGTAACATATAAATTTTATTTTAGTTGCGTTCGTATATCTTACGCGATTTATGATATAAAAAAATCTTTTGTTAATTGTGATAAATATTATTAACAAATACTTACTTATGCGCAGGATTTGCTTGATCCAACTGTTCACTAAGCTGTTGAATAAGAGTGGCGAACATTTTGAGGTGTTCTATAGTTTCTCCTTGCAGCCATGCTCTTGGTAACGTACTCATGATCTGAACATAATATTGACAAATATTTTATTCATTACAATCATAATAAAATGAAAGTGCTAAAAATATCTTATCCCGATTATAAACATTAAATATATATTTACCATGTTTGCTTTGAATAAAGCATCAGTTGGACAAGAAACTCGTAACCCAGCCAGTAGATAACGATTCAAAAGCGAACCCAGAGCCAAGTTTTTTAATTGTACATCTCCAAGGAGACCTTGCCAACTCAGTAAATTGCGTAACAATTTGACAGCCATTGCAAATTGTCTCTGAAAGAATTGATGTTTTGTATCCCAAACTCTGAAATATTAATTTGTATTAAAACAACGAAAAAAATTGAATTTTATATATATATATATATATATATATATATGAAGTATCAATTTATCATTATGTATCTTATGTATTATATACTGACTGTTTGGTAAGATAGGTATAAAACATCGTTTCAATAGCAGCCTTAATTTTATCTAAATAGCATTGAATAGAGTTTCCAATTGTCTGCTCGTGTCATTCAAATTGGGATATTCCTTGATTAAGCGATTTATGGTTCCTACAAGTCGTAATGTCTGGGATGTCGACATTGGATCCCATATCTTTTCGATAATAGCTAAAAATCATCAATGTAAAGAATTATGTTACTCTTACTATATATATTTTATAAATAATATAAAAGATATAAAATATATAAGCAAGATACATAGTTTTATAAAAAAATATAAAAGATATACAATATAAAATATATAATTTTTGTAACATTCTTACATGTCAATTTTGGTATGACAATTTTTTCAATTGTAGATGGTATTAATCTAACATCCGGATCTCGTTTCAATGACTCTTCTGTCTCTTTACTGTCTAAAGCGTACAAAAGCAATGTGTTATACCACTTTGTTCTTTCTAAATCCGCGCTTTCCTGTAAAAATAATTAGATATTAATTACAAATAATTAACAAGCATGATGTTTTCGTTACTAGGAAAAACTGGATAAAATACCATTATTGGATTCCAAGTAACCAGCTGTAATCTGATAATGGGTGATATAATTTTAGGTAAACAAAGTGACACATAGGCTTCTGTATACGCATCCATGTCCGTTTCTCTCCATGATTCGAATTTTGAAAGGATACCACGTACTGTACAATATTCTTCCATAACATCAGAAAATATATCTTTACAATTATTATCGATTTCATCTGTAATAAATAAATATATCATATAATCATAAAAGATAAATATTAAATTAACAAATCTTAAAAAAAAAAACTCGAGCTATAAAATCTGCTGTAACCTTTCGCTTGTTTAAATACAAGATTTTGTTGCTCAGTGACTTCGTCATCACTAGACATGCCATCAATATGTTTTGGCATATTTGAAGCTAATTCTCTTGCTCTCCTACGACGGGCTCTTCTACCTTCTCTCTCTGTAGCTCGCCGTCCATGAGCTTCTACTTCCGGTCCTCTTCTTAAGGCTTGACCTCCTAACGTAAAACGAAAAAAATTAGAATTTATATTGCGAAATCTCAGTGAAATTTCTAGAGCATAAAGTTCAATCAAGTACCGCAAAAATATAAAATTCTATTAATTATGTACAATTGAAAATTTACTAACTTGCCGCAGTAGTTACTTCTTCTGCTTGATCCCTCGTATCTTGTCGTCTCCGTTCCATCAATTCGGTTGAACGTTCACTGTATAAGTCTAACCAGCGTTGCTCCAAATCGATAACAAGGGGAAGCTAACAAAAAATTGTATAAAGTTATTAAAATGATTCAATAAACATATTTCATCAATCAAAATTGATGATGTCTAAACTTAATGATTTCATGACAATATATAATGCTTTATACATCATTTGGAAAATTCTTTAATATGACAATATTGTTTGAATTTTAAAAATAAACAGATTAGACATCAATTTACTTACCATAGTCAAATTAATTTATTATAATCACTTTATATAATAGTTATTTTTACAATATGTGTAAATATATATATATATATATATATATATATATATATATAAAATACAGAGAAGATAATGACCCCCGGCAATGGAAACATGTATACATGTGCTACATATATATGTACATGTCTTTATTTTACAAGTTGAATTTATTACTCAAAAATCTTCCATCATTCCTTATATTTTATTTATTACTGCTCATATAAATAAATTATAAAATCTAAAGTTTAATTCAACTGTTAATTTTAATGAGATCAATCTAGTGAAATGAAATAATTTTGTATATTTGCTGAATTAAAAGATTTTATTTAAACAAATAAAAAAACAAATATTCTGTTTTAAATAGTGTATCTTGAACTTTTTGTAGCTTAAGGCTCCTGGGCCCTCGTTGCAGTCATATTAAGTTACAATGTCAGAAGCGAAAAAATATACTTTCATTATATGCGCATTTTATATCTATAACATAAATCTATATTGTTATATTTAAAAATTTGAATTTCATTTCAATTCAAATAATTTAATCTATATTTTGTATATAACTTTATATATAGAGAAATTTTATATCATGAAATTAAATACCAAAACTTTAAGTGAGATTTATTAAGATTGGTACTGGTACTTTATTGCGGCTGGAACATTTTTGTTAGCCGCATACCGTACGATAAAACCCAGTGCACATAAATCAAACGTGACAGCGTATCAACCCACCTTCTCATCAAGACACTCTACCAAGTCAGTGACATACCCACGCAACTCTTGGTAATATCTGAAGCGTTGTGCATAATGCGGCGTACGAATTTCACTTTCGTCCAATTCTTTCATAGTTTGTTGTAACTCTCCCTCTAAACGCTCCTGATCTTGTTGATGTCGTCTATGTACCTCTTTCAAGTTGTCCAATCTTTAAATAACAATATGTATTTATAAAACTATCGATTATCATTAATTTTGTACATTGTATATAAAGCAAAACATTTTAGAGAAATATAGAACCTTGCGCGCATCCTGTTCACAACTTCTTGTGGCGTAACAGGTACGATTTTTGTCGGATCTGGTGGTTGAATGGACGGTGGTGGCGGCGGAGCAGGCATCAATACCATTTCTAAAGGTACACCAGACCCGATCATCTGATTAACATTCATACCCATCGTATATTGTTGTTGTAACATAGAATCCTGTTGCGCTGCTGCGATCTGTACATGTCATGAAAGAATCAAGTTACTTAAGATTTATCTTTTTAATATATTCAATTTAGTATATTATTTTTAGTATATTAGCAAACTTTCTACATTTTTACCTGAGCACCCGTTACACCCTTTCGTATTTGTTGAGCTTCCCATTCCTCTTCTTCGTTCTCATGCTCACTTTCATTATCTGAAACTAAAGACATTTTCCAAATTTCATTTTTAAATGCATCTTGAAATTAATTAATTAGACGAAATATAATCAAAAATTATTAGATATAGGAAACTTACATTTTAATGGAACTTGTGATGCAAGAAAGGCTTCTCTTCTTTTTTCTTTATCACGTGCTTCAGTGTTGACAGTCATATCTAATCGATCTTGAGAATCATCATCATCACTTCGATCATGATCTTCTTCTCGTATCAATCTTGATTTGCCCTTGTCATCACTGTAGAAATAAATGTATTATATTATTAAATCATGAATATAAAATCATGAATATATAATTCTATCATGTAATTTTGTATATATATATATATGTGTGTGTGTGTGTGTGTGTGTGTGTGTGTGTGTGTGTGTGTATGTATATATATATATATATATATATATGAATTAATATTAAATAACTCCTATATTATATAATCATTAAGGCTAAAATTACTTTTGCTCTTCGATGGGAATGTAATCAGTTCCCAATTCTCTTGCTTTTTGTCTGCGTTTTCTCGCTGCATGGATCATAGCGGCGTCAGGTATACACCCACCTGGAGAATATTAAGAGAATATTATTATATTAAAAATAAAAAAATATCTTGACAAATTTTTCAAATGTATTAAACAATTATTTTTATAATGTATACCTTATGATATACATTTAGTAATATCTGAAAACAAGACCTATATAATAATTCTTTTCCAATTTCTGTTGAAAATATAAATCATTAAATATGTATACAGTAATGATATATTACATACTCTCAAGAAGTATCTTCATAGTTTCGGCTTTATCTGTATTTTTCCGAAATTTGTGACTGCAAGACTCATCTTCCTCCTCGCCCGATGTATAGTCATCTTTTCCCGCTGCCAATGCAGCTCGTCCATTTAAAATTAAAGGTCCTGTGTTTTTTATTTTAACCTAACAATAAAGATTATATATTGTTTATTAAAAATACACAATCTTAAATAGAGAAATTTAAAATTTTTAGAAAAAGAAGATATGCATAAAGTACAATATTCGCATTCATAAAGTACAATATGTTGAAATTAAAGATATTTCTATTAACAGCAAAATAACAAAAGATATAAAAAGCTCTATTAAGAATTATTAAATTGGAATAAAAAGTTACAATACAAGTACAATATGATTACATATACAGTAACAATCAAGAAAAATAATAAGATTTAGAAGACATTAAGATTAGATAAACAAGTTGTAATCTAAATACTATCAATTTTTCTGTGTATAATTGATAAACTAAAAAAAAATATAGAGAAAGTAATATTTCAAATGTGTAAATTTGCTTTTATCCAAATTCAACAATTGGAAGAATGTCTATATACTTTTAAATGAATTACTTAATGCATATAAATATACATATAAATTATTGCATAAAAAAAGACATTTAAATATTATATCTTCTTGTTGTATTCCCACAGTTGTTCCAAATCTTGAAACGTTAGTCAACGTATTAGGAAGAGACGTAAAAAACCTTCTATATTAAATGATAAGTTACTTAAATTGAAGAAATGCTAATAATAATAAAACATCATAGAGATAGCTTACTACTAGATCATCTGTCTTTATTTCTAAATCTTTTTCCTGCTTAACGGATTTATTCGCTTGCTCAGAGTCCACTTGCATTTTCTCTTCACCTTTCTTTTTCCTCCTCTCGTGATCTAGCTGTTTCATCAGCTTTTTGCTCCTCGATGATTTCTTCACTATAAAAACCTCTCCGTCGTCTCCTGTAATTTATTTCAAATTTTAATTTAAATATATATATACATCAAATATTATTCAATACTTGATAATAGATTTAGGAGAAACAGCATCTGTTAGTTAAGTGTTATTCATCTAAAACAGAACTTAAAATATTATCTTCTTGCTATTATAATCAAGAAGATATTCCTGTAAAGGCATACTCTGCTGTGAGTAATGATATTATACTATCATTTAAGAAAATTATATATTAAGTAGCATGTAGAACAGGTTTTCTATATATACTAATTACACATAGCACATGCATATACACACACGTATAAACACACATATTGCATATGCAAGGATGTGTGCACGTATAAACACCTTGTTCCAGCTCCTCCCCGAAGCTGAGACGCGTCTGTTTTGGCTTATCCTTCTTCGTCTTAATTTTGACGGGCTGCGCGTCCTCCACTTCCATTCTGTTTTCATTATCCTCGTCTTCATCGTTGAAAGGACGTCGGCGTATGTTCCGCTTCGGCTTGTTGAATAATGACATCTCTGTAACGTCAATGTTATCCCACGGGTACAACGGGTATGGTCGTCCGTTGCTCGAGAACCTGACTGTTAAAAGTACGAGCTGAAAAGCGACGTGTACCGCATTACGAGGGACCGACCGTCGAGCCAAAACTAATTGGCACGTACGCGATAACAATGTTTCAACAGATTTACGGTACGCGAGACTGAAAAATCGTACGAACACTCGGACACACTCGTTAAACAACTTACGAGATTGAACTGGATGGCACGTTTGTGCTAGTTCGTGCTCGAGATACACCAATCATAAGAGAGTCACATGGTCTCCATCTAACCGACTTATTTCCCTAGGGTGACTAGGGCTACGGTCAATGTAAGTGTCGGTCCACAATAAGTATTTAATCTTTAAGCCATAAGAAATTGACTAATCATAGTCGAGTATTCTTTTCATATTCGATTATAATTGGTCAATTTCTTTTTAAAGCTTAAATCACTTATTATGGACCGACACTAACACAGTATCTACACTGGTGCTTTCCATCTATGACACAGAACGACAGTGTGAAACACAGCTCGATCCTAAGTTTGGCCGTATCGAACATCAATAGCGCCAACATATCGAACAAAATTATTTTTTTTAAGTGTGATACTAATATACATTCCGGTCATTATTGTCATTTTGGATGCGTTCCGTTTCTTGCATGATGCGCATAATGCATCATTTATCGTTGTTTAATGTATAGTGATAAGGATAAATGATACATCATGCGCATCATGCGAGAAACGGAACGCATCCTTTATTTGCAAAAAAATGTCTTCGTCGCGTTCGAATAACGTAACCGAATCCGAAATTCTTAGGTAATCAATATTCAGTTTTTTTTTATTTAAAGAATTATATAAGCTTAAAAACATTATGTATCTGTTGATGACCCATTATTAGTACATATTCTATTGAATTAAGTTTTATTGCAGATATATTCTTTTGTCGGTATTGTAAAGAAATTATTCCTATATTGGATGATGTTAAGCATCATGCTTGTTTCAAAGGAAAAGAAGTTTTTCTTGAAGGAGAAAAGGAATTATATTCACCTGAAATGAATGAGATGTAATGTCAAATCGAAAAGATCATAGTTATTTTACAAATATAAAATAAAGCGCTTTGTAGCCAGCAATAAAATAATCAATACATATAATTTACTTAAATTTATTTCAGTATGTATCAATAATTCTTCAAAAAATGCACTGGCAATAATGGATGATAACGAAAAAAAATGCGCTCATGTTTATGCGTGATGGTCTTCTCCTACGTTTTTTACGCTCTCTAGTGAGCGTGTTTAGTAACTTATGTGTTCCAATTAAACTCTATATGTGTCTTACAGTGTCTCTCTGTGTCACACTGTGTAACACCAAACTCTCCTTGTTGGAAAGCACCCAGTGTAAACAGCATAAAGTAACTAGGCGGAATCTGATATTCAAGTGAAACGATGTGATTGGTCGGCGCAAGTTACGCTTACGCAAGTTACGCCGCATGTGATGGCACCCTTAGGGTACTACATCTGTTGTACGAAAAATTTTTTGAGTTAATTGACATTGATTGACTGCAGAATAGAAAGTTTCTAAAGATTGAAGAATTGCTCTATCTCGCAACCAAGCAACATGCTTAAAAAGCAAAACAGAAGTTGTAAACAGGCCTTAATGTTAAAAACCGTTTTAAAAATTTGTCGTACGACAAATGAATAGTACCTTAAAATATCATTAATGCAATCAAGTCTTATTTATTTATTTTACTTTTTATATTAACTTTCAGTGTAAATTAACTTTAATTTTGCTTTAGTTTTTATTTTTTCTTTTTATAAAAGGAAAAATAAAATAAAAAATAATAAATATATCCGAGCGATAAATTTACGTTCTTCCAATTTCGTTTCTCTTTGCCAGAGGTTTCGCGCATGCGCATTTTTTATGCCTCGCTTGCGAAAAAAACGAACCATGTGTCATGTGCTTTGTCCGGCGTGTTGAAGATTTAAAGAATTATGACAATTCATATATAAATTATGCTTATATATAGATACAATTTTTAGATAAATATATTTATGTAATTTTAAATGCGTTTACATATATATCAAAATGCAAATGAGATTAGTTGAAAACAGTAATGTTATGGACAAGAGTGTTAACCTTGTCGATCGGGACGATTTAATAGTGAAGAGAAAAGGCGGTGGAAGTATAATTGATCAACGCCCATTATTTTCAAGCGATGGAGAGTAAGTTAAATAAAATTTTCTAATTCAAATTTTTACTTGAATTAGAACAAGTCTCTTGATATTTTAGTCTATTAAATTTAGCTATTAGTGTATGGTTAATGGATATTCCTTTTTAGAACTCTCTACATAATATGGAAAAATGTCATCAGGGTATACAGTACGCAAACGGGAGATTTCGTACGGGAGTTTGAACCTTCGAATTATAGAAATAGAAATTATAGAATTACTGGAATAATAGCACATCCAGATAATGCTAGTGTTATTATTGGTTGTATTGAAAGCGGCGAGCTAAATTTCTGGAATTGCCAAAGTGGCATTATTACTAAAAAATTAGTAAGAATATGAAAGTTCTGTTCATTAACATAAACTTATATGTATTAAAAAATAACATGTATATGTATATATTTTAATATTTTTGCAGCAATTAAAATTAGCAAATGGCAAGGTAAAAATTAGAACTTTTCACATTGTAAAGTATAGAACAGTTCAAGGAAATGAGATATGTCAAACGCTAATAACCCATCTTTCTGAATGTGGAAACAAGATATATGTACTTCTATTTGATATAGAAAATGGGATGTGTACAAAGTCAATATATATCATGTAAGAAATTTTTTTAATTTTTTGTTTTTCTGTGTTATCAAATTTTATACAAAAATTCATAATTTATAATTCATATTCATATTTTATTATTTACTGTTTATTTTTTTTAGCACAAAAACACAAGAGTATTTCATTGATATTATTGGGAATCATGGAGAAAATTTAATAGCACTTTTACACAATGTAAATTTACATATATTAAATCCAGCTAGAAATTTAGTAGATAAAATGTAAGATATTTTTGGATCAATGTATTTACTTATTGAAAAATATATATGAATTATAAATACTTAATTTAATTAAATAGACATAAGACTGGTAAGACAGGTAGATTACCTACTTGTATAGCCGGACATCCAGAAGAAGAATGTGTTGCCACTGGAGATTCTACGGGTCGTGTAGTTGTATGGAGAAATTTATTCCAAACTAGACCATATACATCTGTTTTTCACTGGCATACATTGCCAGTTACAGAAATAGTGTTTAGCAAATCAGGTAAATGCTGCAAATTTATAAAATATCTTATATATTTCTCTTTCAAATCACAAATTAGTAATTTAATATGACATAATATAACATAATTTCTTGTTTTATAGGTGGTCACATGTATACAGGTGGTGGTGAATGTGTGTTGGTAAAATGGACTTTAACAAATCCTCAACATAAGTCATTTCTTCCACGATTGCCGGCACCTATTAAACATCTCACTATTGCTCCTGATAACTTATATGTTGCTGTATCGACTTTAGATAATGGTAAAATTTTTATTGTTAAAAATTTAGGTTTTTTAATAAGCAAATTGATGACAACTGATTATATTCGGATTCTAACAGGTATTGTTATTGTAAATCCTCAAAGAAAATTGACATCAGTAATACAAAACTTTACGTGGGGCGTTGCTTTATCATCCAAAGATCTGTTTCCTGCGGGACTCGTTGTTGATCCGCGAACAGGTAGTCTTGTCTTAAACAGTCGCACTGGACATGTGCAATTTTATAACACTCACACAAAAAATCTATTATATAATGTAAGTAAAATATTTTAAAAGCAAGTTAATGTGATTTTAAAATAAAAAATGAAATTAAAAGAAATAATAGAATTTGGACAAATTTTCTAGATTAATATAACTGCTCAAAATTTTTTGACCCAAGAACGCGATGTAATTATTGTAAATACAGAAGTTACAAAAATAGCTCTGAATCATAATGGCACATGGATGGCAACAGTTGAAGAACGGAATGATAAAATTTCGTCTATAGAAGTTACGTTAAAATTCTGGATTTATGATCTAAAGAAACAAATGTAAATATATATATATATATATATATATAATTCTGTTATATTTAAAAATAATAAAAAATAATATAATAATATAAAATAATATTATATAAATAATATTATAATATTATATACAAATAATATTATAATATTAATATATAACTTCTTAATATTGTAGATTTGTATTAAATACATCTATTGAATTGCCTCATGAGAATGGAGTAAATGCACTACATTTTCAACCGGATACGACATTCGACGATGGAGAATGGTTAGCAGTTACCACTGGCAAGGATAGCAAATTTAAATTGTGGAATTTAAGAAAATCTATAGAAAGTACATATATTTTATTATCTATTTTGTGTATAATAAAATAATTTTTATAAATTTTATGAAATACATATATCTATATATATATATATATATATAATTACTATCTAATATCAATTACATTTTATTATAGAGAAAGAGGCAAAACATTGGTATTGTTACGGAGTGGGAGACTATCGTAATTTAGCTGTTACAGATGCTGGTTTTTCAGTGGATGGTTCATTATTAGCTATTGGTTTTGACTCTACTTTAACCTTATGGGTGCCTGAAACTTGCGAGTTAAAATCCAGTCTTACACATTCAAAATATAATTATCCAATAAAGTAAGTCTCTCTCTCTCTCTCAAGAAAATAACATATGTTCTATAATTTTGAGTATATTCTTAGCTAAATGGAAAGTGGTGTCACATATATATATATAAAATGCTATAAATATATATATATATATATATATATATATATATATAAATGCATAATTGTAAAATGTTTACAATAGACGAATAGAATTTGGCAAACACGATGCTTGTCATCTTGTTGTGGTCGTATCTGAACAACACATAATGGTTTGGAATATTTTAACTCTTGCTATAACATGGAGTGTATCCTTAAATATTGTAAGTCTCACATATGACCCGAAATCCACATACATGGCAGCGTTTACTTCTGACAATTCATGTATGTATACGATATATAAATACACTTTTTATTATATATATTATATATTTATTATATATTTTATCACTAAAGAAATAATTATTGGAAACTTCATCTTCATATATTGTAATACTTATGTACTTTTTCTTTTTATATCATATAATAATTAAAATAACATTTATATCATTTTTTGTTTTCTTATATTTTTTAATTTTATTTGATCATTGTATTATTAATTTTTGTATTATGAAGATAATTAATTTGCTTTTAGTATATGTATTTACACCACAGAGCCCAACAGTTGTTTATAAGAAAACATGTCTTATCGAAAGTACCAGTTTTATACTAGCAGCTACTTTTGTACCTCATCTACAAGAAAAACGTAATCCTTCCTTTGGCCAATGGCAACGAAAGTCGCAATTATACTTTTTGGATTCAAATCAGGTATGTTTTTTAAATCATATGAATAAATTTACATCTATCTTTTTGTAATGTTTGAATTAATATATAAATATATTTGTATCTCACTATTTATTATTGTTTTTTTTTTGTTTAGGAATTGCTCACATTGGAGCCAGACTCTGAAGCCGAATTTTCTTTAGAAATTATTTCAGACAAGGGAACCAAGCCACTGACCGCCTTCTCCAATCTTATAGCTGTTCAAACGTCTTCGAGTAAAGAGCAGACTGTTGCACAATTTCATGAACATCTTGGCATGTCAACGAAAAGAGTGGTAGAAGAAGTAGGTAGAACGTTGATTTTCAAAATTTGTGCGAAGATTCCTTTAAGTCGCATTTTATATATAAAATTTGAGTTTGGGATAAATTTTGTTTAAAAAATAAATATATTAAAAATTAATTTGAAACAGTGTATTGTAATTTTTTTTATAATCTTTTTACATGTATCTTACATGTATCTTTTATAATCTTTTTATAATCTTTATATATCATGTATTTTAATAGAAATATTGTATTTTAATAGAAATATTTGCGACTTTTAGGATTCTTAATATTATCCGTTCTTTTCATGTTTAATGATATTTTTGCATGATGTGAATATGTCATTAACAAAGAGAAAGCTATAATTCATTGTTGAATAACATAAGAAAATTTTATATTTGAGATCAAATTTACATTAAGTAAACAAACAGAGATAATTTGCAAAATAAATAGGGATTTATAATAATTAATCTAAATTAAATGTAAATAAAAGACGATATTTTGATGATATAAAATAAATTATTTATACATAAAGAATGTATAAATAATAATATTGATAAAACATAATGTAAAAAAATTGCTTTAATTTCAAATATCTTGTGTAAAATTTAGAATCAACAAGGATGGAAATCCTTGCGTTTTAAAAATTTGTATAGTTAAAAGTGATGAAGATTTATCAATAATAATATAAAATCATATAAAATATGACATTTCCTTTGTCATGATTGTCAATTACGCTTAATGCAAATTTCTTCAATAAAATAATATTCAAAATTATTTTTACCTTCTAACATAAATGTTTTCATGGATGTTAATATAATCTATAACTAATTTAAGTAAACTTATTTAGTTTAACGACTTGAAACGGTGTATTCTGCATGATCGGACGACGAAATTTGCCATAAAATATCGTAGCTGCCAATCGCGGATCATACTGAATGTCCATTTGTCAGTGTCTTCTTCCTAAACGATAATTCCTACAGCGGCGAACAAAATCGAACTTTCTATAGCGGAGACAATGCCATTGCGGAATCTGCCTCATGTTCTCGATCGCCTGCAAGTTGTATAGCTTAAGCAGAATTATTAAGATTATAAAAAAAAAAAAAAAAAAATAGAAATGAGAAATTATCAATCCATCAGAGATTAAGGAAAGAACAGAAAGGAAAAAAAAATAAATTATTACATGATTAATATTAATCAGGTCGAATAGCTAAGGAAATTAAAAATCATTGAGATATTGGTGAAAAGTCTTCCTGTTTACTAGATGTACCACCTACGGTTTAATATGATTAGACACATTGTCGCACTCTCGGACAAATAAAGATTGGTTTAACAAGGAACGTTCAATGACCAACGTCATATACTTTCGACATTATCATGTACATCCCACGTGCTTACAATGGAGAAAAATATGAGTCGCATTTCTTATAATTGACGCACAGTGAGAAAAGGTAATTCCTTGCTGATGCGTCATTCGCGTATTTCGCACTAGCGAAATCCCGGCGATTCAAAATTAGTAAATCTTGTAAGTTTCAATGATATTGTTCTCAATACCGGTTCTTGGTTCCGTTTAACAACAAGGAACATTTAACGCGTTTCGTTTATCGCATACAAAGACACTTACTGCTTCGCTGTTGCTCGCAGAATATCCTAAGGCGATCGCTGCGAATAATAGCGTTGTAAACAAACACGAAATAAATTTTAATCCGATTATCTTCATTCTCTAGATCGGCTTTTCCAGCGAGAAGCCTAAGAAGATTTCAAATCTGGATTTTTTCCGAATTCTCAGTTCTTTCCGGTTCGTTTTTCAATCAATGATGAATTATCGGATCGCTCTTCTTTTGAAGTTCTTTTGAAGCAGTTTTTTCCTTTAGTGAAAAATGTGAATTAATTCAAAATTTCCCACAGAATTATGGTTTTACCCAGCCTCTGCCAGTGTGAATGATCGTACAATGGGGTCGATGAACCCGACACGTTCCAATGATGCAAATTGATAAAGATGGTACACGAAAAACTCGGTAGTCCTTATAGCAATTGAGAGAGTGGATCCTTCATGCGTGTTCCAACGTTCCGCGGTCGACTGGCTTTCAGCAGAAGTCTCACCATGATTTAATATAGAGACTCCCACCCTCTCACGGCGTTCTAGTTGTCCCTTTAGGACGCTTGGACACAAACTTCACTGGAAATCCTGTACCTCTCACGTCACAATATCGTCGTATTGCGAATTCCATCGCTTCGGCGCTGTAGCATCAATTCATATGCATTCTTATATGTATGTATGTATACATATATATTTTAGTTTATTTTGATGGCAAGAGCGCATTATCAGTCGTCTTGCTTTTTCTTCGTGTGGGCGGAAAGTTGGCCTGGCAAATTGAACAGAGTGAGGCAAAGTTGTATTGGAAAAGACAGATAAGGGCAAATGTAACATACATCGCATTCGGATCAAATAATTAATCCGACATGCCGAAAATAAACTCGAGAAATATCTCGACGAGGAATTTATTGAAAGTAGTTATGCGAGACGTAACGTATTCTGTTGCTATCAGAAACGAACGCTTTAAAAGTAGCTTCGTTCCCAGTCCTCATTATTCATCCCCAATAAAAGCATACAGGGTGTATCGTTTTGATTTCAAATACTCCTTGAGTACGATTGGTTTTGAGATAGATCGTTGAAGAGATCGTTGAACTTTCAGGTTTTATATATATACTATAATGTAGAGTATTTTATCTCAAAATATTTCATTCAGTATATACTGATAACATATTTTATAATACAATTGATCTTTGTTGAGATAACAATACTTTTTACAATTAATATACTTTTATACTGTATAGATGAGTTCAATAATTTCTTATCGACTCACAATTTTTTCTAATCGATCGATATAATGTCAATTTCAATGCATGTCCTATTGCGCAAAAATGTGTTATTAAAAAGAATAAAAATATGTCATTGAAACAATCAAATGACACTTGGACAAACATTAATCAGAAAATGTTATATCTATCACATTTGATATCTAAAAAAAAAAAATAACAAGATTTGTATCCCGCTTGGTTTTCAAAGTATTTCATCGCATCGATTACAATGGGATACCTTGCGCGATGCGAAAATAGCGAACGACGTTGTCGCAGAATTGTCTGCGATTGCTTGCAAATGTAAAACCAGGCCAGCAGGAACAAAGTCTTATCTTCCTCACCGACCGGCTCGATTGTTGCCATTGATACCTGCTAATAAAATGTTACACCGTATAGAGGGCAAAGTTTAGATCAATCTGTCATTGATACATCGCTATCAAAACATTTTGTAATGATATTCTATAATTACACAGTGTCTCTAATCTCTTGAAAAGATAATTAAAATATGTTGATATTTAGTCTTCCGTTGTATCTTGCGGTATTTACTTGAATCATTTTATGAACTTTTTATCTTATTTTTTTATTTTCTGCTTATTGATAATAATTTTAATATGTACTTACACATGTACTTTCTATATGTCTACTAATTACAGTCTGTTAAAATATTTGCATTAAATGAACCGAAGGCTACATACTTCATCTCACGCTAAAAATAATATTCTCGCAACCAAAATAGACTAGGCTATCTTCATGTTCTGTTCCATATTTAACATATTGTTACGCGCAAGTACTTTGCTTTTAATTAATGATTGCATTACGTCACGAACATCAGACTTTACGCTTGGTAATTGTCCCGATTATAGCGATAATAAACTTATATTCTCTGGTCATCTCGGTCGTTTTTCGTATGAGCAATTTCGCGGATATTGTCGTCATGATTCCCTGAAATTGAACGAAATCGTCACACAACAAGTGTCATCCTAAAAGTAAGAAACGCCTCACTTTTAAAAGCAAGAGTAGCTTGGACAATATTTGTTCGAACGCGTCGTATAGTCATTTATAAGGAATAAAATAGAAGAGACATTTTTCGTAGAATATTTTTATGAGAGACGTAAATTGGGTATGTAAAGTGCATGCATTTAACATTCATTTATTTGAAAAGAATCCTTGCACTTAGTGACATTTATTAACTTGCGGTTCAACAAGCGGACATTCGTTTGATATTAAAGTACATTTAAAATTTTAAACTGTAATACATGTAAATGTGCGTTTGTCGTTAAAGTATACGAGGACTATCCGTGTGGGTTTGCAACAGACGAATTAACCTAGATCTGAAGTAGAAGATTACAGGAATTGCACAAATTTCACTCAGAGGTGTATCATGTCATCTTTAATATTAATTAACCACATCGTTTGGTCGTCCAACCAAACGATTATCACTGTGTCGTGCGCGAAGCAAATGTATTGAATCTGTCGAGATTGATATGCTCCATTAATATTCCAATATAAAATTTTCTCTCTTAACCAACAATTTTGCAGAAATATTCAATCGTTTACTATTAATCTTGTTTTTCTTTTTTTTTTTAGTTACTCAGCGTGCCCGCTCACACATTGCCACCGTTGAGTTTGTTGTGCTCGTCATTCATTTTGTCGCTGGGGGCACAACAATCCTTGAAAAATCATTCCAAAAATGTCGAAAGGTACGCAGGATCAATTTGTGCAAATTGTATAAATTGTGTGTTTTACATTTTACTATTTTACACGAATGTCGTATATTAATCTTTTACTAATTTTCTGAAACAGTGATGACGATGTTCAGGATAATACTTTGGATTTAAGTGACGACGAAGTATCACCGCCGACGAAATCCTCAGTCGTGCCGGCGAATGAAAACGAGGATACGGACGATGATACAAACGTGCGACTTGATAGTCACGACTGGTCTTTCCTATCCACCATACTTCCCGATCAAGATAATATTGTACTTTGATTTCGTGAAAACTATCACGAAAACTATCGAGGGTTAGAAGAAGATTATAATAAAATTAATGGAGACATATTCTTCTGTAAACTAAAGTATACAAAAGATGTACAAAGTGTATCGACGTTAATAAAAGATTTTAAATCGTACGAAATTAAATATATAAAATATGTAACTAAACTTTAAGTATATAATTTAAATATATAATTAATAAAATATAAATCTTTTTAAGACGGAGTAGGTAGTTGATCCAATCGCGAAGCGAGTTCGGCGAGTTCGATGATAGTTTCTTCGATCCTTCTCCTGTAAACTGAATCCTTCTCCATGTTCAAGAGAAAGGCCTCTTTTCTGTTACGAATGTGATAGTCGATGAAAGATGCCGATTTATTTATACCTTGCGCGCTAACATTTTCGTCCATCAGAACCGTAGGAAAATAACTTATCGCGGTAATAGCGGCGCCTAGACGTTGCTCCTCCATACCCTCGATCACCTCTGACCATGGGGGTATTTGCGTACGGATTTCGTGAATATTTAAGGTCTCGCGCAACGTTTCATAATAATGACGCAACATCGCATTCTCCCAAGTTTCTCGGAAGCTCCGATCCGTACAGAGGTACAATAATTGCGCGACATCGTGTGCCAGGGGGGAATACCTCAAGAGTTGGAAATCTACCAGCAAACATTTTGGCGGCACGTCATTATTGAATAGAAGGTTGTTGCCCCAGAGATCGCCGTGGCTGACCACATTCGCCTTTGTGCGGGACGGCTTTAAAGCGTGGTATACTTGCTCGCAGGTCGAGCGTATCAGGTCGGGATCATATCCCAAACTTTCGGCTAGACTCGCGGCTATGTCGATGCTTGAATCGAACCACTGTCGCGTCATTCCCTCAGGATTGAAGGCTCTCTCGACGAAGGCTTCAGGGTACAGCTGATTTAGGGGCACGCCAAGACGCGTCTCCGCGAGCAAGGAGGCGGCGTGCATTCGCGCGAGAGCGCTTAAACCAGCGCGCACGAGCGTCCCGTCGAAGAGCTTGTCCCGCATTGAGTAACCCTTGTCACTTAACTCCTCGAAGACCATCAAGTTACTCTTCGCTTTGTAACACACCGGCGCCCACGGCTCTCCGCGGTATCTCTCGCAGAGCAACGGCATTATGACGCTGTAGAACTTGGCCTCTTGCTCGAAGACTCCCTTCTCTATCACATAGTCGGCTTGATCGGACACCTCGTAAGGTATGGTCTTGAAAAAGAGCGAAAGAGCGATGGTTTCCCTCTTCCTCGTTGCCGTTATATCGATTCGATGATGAGAACCAAGATATCCGAGCTTGCCGTTGGAGTACGGTCGAATAACGTATTTCATCAAATCGGCATCATTGCTCAGCGCGCGTTTCGTTATCTCTTTTACCTCTTCAAACGAGAGCAATTTGTAAATGTCGTCATTCTTGATAATATCGGCGGTTTCCATTTCAAGACACTCTTGTTACAGACGTATCAGACGTATTCTTGCAAACGCTACTTTCACCTAGAAATAAAGACTAAAGAAGATAATTGGTTTCGTCTTTATATACATGTCGACGGTGTATTGTATCTACTAATTTATCAACCGATCCCGTATTGCATATATGTATAACGTAATATATTTTCATCAAGATATCATCATTCCGATAAAAGTCTTCAACACATGACATTTTCGAATGTCATGTGGTGCAACAAAATTAAGCCCGATGGCCTAAAGTCGTCTGCTGTTTTTACGTCTGATATTCTCGTCTGATTTCAAAATCAGTTGTCGAGTAGTTTCTTTGAGATTTTATCATAACGAATAACGCACAGCCAATATGGTATTTCGAAAAAACTAGAGAATACGATCGAGATTTCAGTTCTCGATGGAAGAAATGAAAATGCACATGTGTTTAAACATCTACCACGAGAATTAATCCATCTATTAATTAATTAAATGTTGTTTAGTATAATATATTTGATTTTAAAAGATTCAGAGTTACTTCCAGAATATATTTTTCATTACTCATCATCATCATTACTAAGACCTTTTATACGTGGTAAATCTTCATGTTGTCAACGTTGTAAATCGTTGTAAATATTTGATTTACTTACCGATAAGACATCGGCAATGTCTCGGCATGAAAATGTCATAGTGTTTGATTAAAATCTATCTTGGATTTATAATTTGCAATTCTGTAAATATATTTATCGCAATGCAAAATCTATTTTATCCCTATTTTTCCATTTTCTCTACTTAGCATTTGATAATTGCAAACTATAATTAGAAATATAATATATTGTAGATATAAAATGTTGCGTTGTATCGCGAATAAAATTTTACAGGATCGAATTAAAAATCTAAAATTAAACTAAACATAAATTAATATATAGTGATACAAATGTGAATTGCCGCTTTAAATATTAGTTACAGTTGCAGGAATTAAATCGATTGTCTGTATGCTTTGGGGACGGAATTCTGAGAAGACGGAAAATTAATGAAACCTTCCGTTAATTTTCGCTACGGTAAGTAGCTACATTTAATCGGCTTTAAGCATTTCAGGAACGAAGCAACTGTCAATTGCGCGAGATTGCGCGAGCCTTGGCTTATTCGTGACGATGTCGATGACAAGATTGCTATGCTTTACGGTGTAGTTGACAAAAAAGCCTGACGCTCCTCCTTGACCTGTATGCAGCGAATTCGTCGTCAGGCAAAATCCCACGCGTCTTTGAACAGCATCTAAAATTCTACGTCGGTTCGTACGCACCCTTGCATTATCGTCGAGGGACATAAAAAAAAATACGCTTCTATCTTTAGATATTCATACAATGAAATTCTCTTTTCGTTTTTAAACTACTGATACAAAATTTTCATAATTGCGATTCTTACATTTTTTATGTCATTTTTTTACTTTTCTTGATTTTTCTTTATAAAGATTCACAACAAACAGCACAGATAGTCGTTATGAATTAAAAAAGAATTTTTTCTTTTGGTAATTCAAAATAGATTCTATAGAAATATATTTTGATTTCTGTGAAGCAGTAAGTCGAAGTTGCTCCGAACTCTTTTTTCTATTCGGAATGAATTAAAAAAATCGCTCATTCGCGAGTATGACAATCGTCGACAAATAATCGTGGCGACGCTCTATTTCTCGTAACTAAAAACCATAGAAGATAGAATAAAAGACACTACATTACACGAGATTTTTGAACCATGTTTTAATGAAATTATGATAAAGTGATGCCTTGAAGATAACTATAAAACTGTTTTTCGAGACAAAAAGATAAAGTATTTCGACAGTTTTGTTTCGACAATTTTGTTTATTTTTGTATAACGATTAATTTATAGGTAATATTTAATATTTTTCTCAGAGATATATTTATTGGATGTTTGTTAGATATCCATGACAGCTGAACGCAGGATTTTTGTGTGCGATTGTAAAAACAATAATCATAATTATAACAAACATTTTACCACACAAACTCGACTACATGAGCGTATTTTATAATTAGACATGCATTTTTCTTTTCGTCATGTATTATTTTATTACTTTTACATGTTTTATTTTACATGTTTTATTACATGTTTTATTTTATTACTTTTACGCGTTTGTTAGTTTGCGGATTTTTAATATCAATTTAAATAATAACAGGATATTTTTGTATGAGTCATGATATACATATTGAACATGATCCACATTTTAATTGAAATATTTGTTATAATTATGATTATTATTTTTAATTTCATAAACAATTGTACACAAAGATTCTGTGTACAGCTTTCATATTCTTGACATTTCACTTTGTTTTTAAAAAAACAAAGCTGTTATTATATATTTGTCATTATGTACACTATCTAAAATCTATTTCGATTTCATTGTAAATTCTTATAGACTATAAAAAGATTTTCTTTTTATCTAAAAAGAATTTCAGAAAATGATTGTGGTAAAATAAAAATAAAATTCTGTAGAACTCTTATGAATGTTTTTTAGATCAGAAACGAAATGGAAAAAGAATTTCGTAATTTGTGAATTCAAATGGAATTATTTTTTGGATTTTCTGTATCTATTTGGGTTTTGACTTCCGTAATTTGAATCTTCGAAATGCTTCGATTGCTATTAATTCTCGTTTGCGAGATTTTGTTGAATAAATTTTTTCATTTAACAAAATAATTTAACAAAATATAAATAACGAGTTAAATCAATTCGCGTTAAATCAATTCTCTTCGACTTTACTTCCTGGAGACCTCTCGTTGCAAGAGCATACACTCGCATGATTAGAGTCGATGGTTCTAGCTCGGTTGAAATGTCGATAGTAACAGTCGGTTACATTAAATGTAGGCAACCGTGAAAGTTGCCTAGATTATCGTCAGCAAACACGCGCATGCATGTGTGATCACACTTGCAATCGATCATACTCTTGATCGCGTGAACAATCTAATTACATAAAAAAATAATTTCATCTGACTTCCTTAATTTGGCTAATTGATTGATTTATCTTTCACCGGACAGAATGTTTGCTCACGTGCATATCGATCTTATCTTTGGTCACGTGGCTGTGATCAGACAGCGATTTCGGATATATAAGAATATTAATAAGAATATTTATATAAGAAGAGAAGGAATGCAAAATCTGATGTAATTCAAATGATTGAATGAATTCAATTATTATTATAATATTTCTTTGATACATCCAATGTATAATCAAGTGGCGATCGGCATATATATTTTGAATAAAATGATACATAATTTTTAGATTCGATTCGCTCGAATTCACAGAGACTCAAATAATATGAGATACGCAAGAGGAATAAATTCTCAAAAGGGTCTGATTGAGACTTGATTGTTTTGTTAGAAATTTTTCGTATAAATAAAAGTTTCAGTCAAATAAAAATCTTTGCACTTTTATTTTACATTTATGTATATGTACAATTTTTAATTGCCCTATTTCTGTAATTTTCCGGGAAACACAAACTCACACATTCCACAAGAGTGACGATTGTTGCAGGCATTTTCGCCGCGCGTCATAACAAAATCCGCTGTTGAAAACTCCGCTATTGTTTCACGTTACAGTTTCACGTAAATTGATTTGAAACAATTTAGGTGCGCGACTTCTGAAATACGCCTCGGGGTACTGCAGGCTTTAATGGCCAAAAAAGTTCAAGAAAATGTAGCTAAGAACAATAAAGCTTTAATGCACCTCCCTTTTCTTTCTCTTATATAACTACTCTATCGCGTTTCTTTTATTTGCTTTCTTTTCTCTACTTTCGTTGCAACGTACGGGATATTTCTGAAAAAGAGACAGTTGAGATAAAACTGGATTTTTAGCAAATATAATCTCAACAAAAGAAAAGAAATATATAAGCTTATATTTGACGGGATAAAGACTGTAAAAAAGGTATTAGAAATAGTAACAATAGTAGTGGCATAACGTCACTAAGTCGTACAGCATTCTCGAGATGCTACTGCCGTCTTCATGAGAGCCAATTTGCCGTACTTTGAATATTAGTTCACGCAGCCGTGCGATACCGATGATTCTATAAACTGTCTAAAGTTGCGGAGGAATATTCGAGCTTAGTGGAGGTACTTTGCGGAACTTTAATTATTGCCGGGAGACATTCGAAATGACGCGTTTCGTAAAGTATGTCCGGAGTAATCACGTTACCGCACGACTTAACGATTCTGATATTCGAATGGCAGTTTCTGTGCGCGTAGGATGCGATTCATTTTCAAACATAAACATTCTCTGCCATTAATTATAAAAATCTGTTTAAACAACCATTTACCGCTTATTTTTCTGTTAACTTTACAAACTCATTACCCCGTGGTAATGAGTTGTAAAATTATTTCATAGAGTACAAATTGATCATTACAATTTACGCGTTTCATGTAATGCACGTCGCAATATGTAATCTTTGCAACCGTTTGTAAAGTTAACAGAAAAATAAGCGGTAATACATTAGCAACAATAGAGTGTTTACTTCCTTAATTCTAGGAAAAATTCTAGGAATTCTCACAGAATGTTTGTTTATGTCTTGAAAAATTAGATTCTCAGGAAATTTTATTAAAAACTAGAGAATTTTTTTAAAGTTACTTTTTGTAATATTTTTTTTTTATTACATGAGATAATCGTTTTTACCGAAATTTTTAATGAGAATAGTAGATCTATCCACTCTAAAGTACCCATCAGAGTACATTGATTTTACAATTAATCTAATATTCGGTATTGAAGATAACAATTTCGTGTTAAATGTAATTTTGTTTGATGAAGATGGATATTTATTTTAAGTTTATTTTTTTTAGTTTTATATGTATTTGAATTTTGTTATGCATTATATAATTTTTTGTTTTTAATTTTTAAAAACAAAATTCGAAAATTCTATGTAATGTAAAATATTTATTTTTCAAAATACTTATAGGTTTTTCAAAATTTTTCAAATTATTGAAACTCGAATGATTCTTGATCTTATTTTATGATTTATAAACTTTTAAATGTAAAATACTAAGGGCTTTATGCAACAAATACATATTTATGTTTAACATATATTTAAAATACTTTCATTTTATCTGGAATTTTTAACAATTTTCATGTTGAAAATTAGGACATTTTTTTCGGTTTTGAGTAGAGCAAGCGAATTCATCCTGAGTAAGCAAATCGGCCAAACAGAAAATTAATAATAAATTATCGAAAACGCAAGATTATCAGATATTTTAAAACTTTTGATTATGATTGATTAATTTGCTTGCTGCTACTGTTTTCTTATGTGCCAGCTAGCTTTAATCGGGAGAAGTTTGCGGGTCAACCCTTCGGGGCTGTTTTGCCTAGCGATGACGAGGGCGTCGTCGTCGTCGTCATCGTCGCCGTCGTCGCCGTCGTCACCGTCGGCGGGGGCTATTCATTGCCGCCAGTTTCTCGACGGTGGCGGCGCGCGCACTTCGAGTCACGTTTGGTTCGCGCCCGCTCGAGAAGGAGTTTAGTAGCAGCTGCGCGTCCGCGTGCCACGCAAACTCATTGCGAGCATATTGGCCATTCGGTTTCGACAACTGTTGACTGTCAATCGTCAATCGCCGGTAAGCCATTTCGTATTTTCGTGCGACGACAAAAGAGCGCGGGACGGCCGACGAGGGGGAGCAACGAGGGGGCCGCGCGTCGCCTGAACTTGGCCGCGAGTTGCCGCGCGATTCGCGCGAACGCGGCCGCGAGTGCGTTCGAGGGCACGGCGCCTTGCGCGCGAGGACGGGACACGTCGTTAACGCGATAACGCGAGGATCGTCCGTTCGTGTCAGTCGGAAAGAAAGAGAAAGCGGCACCACGTGCCTCGTACGTTATCACGCGTACGTAAGAAAAAACGCGGGACAGCGAGAAGTTTTCTCGAGTGGGAAGATTCAAGGTACGCTCGAATCACTCGTACTCGGATTTTGCCCGTCTTTTTCTCTTACGCGCTCCACCGGGACGCAAAAACTCTTAATCGTTCGCCGAAGTGATCCCCTTCTTTTTTCTTTTTTCGAAAAGTAACGTTTGCGCGAGAAATCCCACAGTTTGAATGTTGTGAAAGATTAAGCTCCTCCGAGTCGCACAATCCCGGTGCGAAATAATTTTGTATTAACTCGTCCTGTCGAGTTTCATCTTCGGCTCGCGTCGTCGTTTACATGACGTGGCTTTAACATTCGCTTCGGTATTTATTGCGCACAATGCTTTTTTTCTCATTTCCAATCGTATCGAATTATTGAGTTGGCAACAGTATTGTTCGCCGCGAAGCGCGCCAAGTTTCTCGCGCTAAAGAGATCGCGTGGAAGAAAAGCTTGAGGCAAAACGGGGGGGGGGGGGAGAAAGTTAACATCCAGGATTTAAGCCCTCGGTGATTCCCCGGATGCGGAAGATATGCGGAGTATTCCGGTTGAAATGACGGCATTCGATCCCCGCGTACGAGGAGAAATTGAAGAAATTAAATCTGCAGAGTATTCCCCGGAGCCGAGCGCGCAAATTAGTCGAACGATTAAAGGTTAAAGAGCCAAGGAGGATCACTTGGAGTGTTCCCGCGGGCAATAATTAAAGACCGAGCGGGGTGCCTCGTGTCGCGCTCGAATACTTCCCCCCGCGAGTTTCACGGGCTTGCGGGATCATCGGTATCGCAGGAACGGTATTACGCGAGCTAATAATCACAGTGCGGTAAATTGCGGTGCGGGGATCGATCGGGCCAACGACGCGTCGCGTCGCGTCGCGTCGCGTCCGGTATTCCCGATGATCGCGATCGAACGTGATTCGGCACGCGAGAGCCTCGCCGGGCCGGTCGCATTTACAATCTCTGTGCATTCGGCGGTGATAAAAGACACGCCCACGGAGAGCAGCCCGGCGGACCGCTGGTCGTCGCCGACCGCAGAAACGAACATTCGTTCAACCAGCAACCGGGCATAGATCGCCCGACGGGCCCACCTAGCCGCGTACGCGTCCCTGGTGAGTACACGTCCTTGCCGCGTGGATGAAATTATTCAAATGGTAGCCGCCGTGCAATTACCGTGCGAATACGCATGGCGACCCGGAGATACGCAGAACCGCCACGAGGACGTCATTCGCGTAGGATTCGCGATCCTTCTCGAATCGAACCCTCGCCTCGGCCGGTCTATTCTGCTCTGCCGGGTCCAGGCCGCTAATCTCGATTTATGCCCGTTTCTACCAATGTATGTACGTAAGGCTAATGCGGGAGTGCAATAAGCAGAACGCGTTTAGCAGTTTCTGTCAGATGATTGAAGGTAGGCTTTGCGAAATGTGCGTCCGCTTTTAAGGAATGGAAGCTTTTTAGCTATAGGTTTGTTTTCTATGCCCGCACATGAGCCATACAAAATTTTCTTTATCTCGCTTTTGTCAATTTTCAAATATACATCTATTTTATTTTAAGTACAACGAGTGTATTGTTTAGTTACAAAAAAAGACAGCTCATCATGTGTATAACTTGAAGTTAATTAAAATTCTATTCTATTCATTTCCACCAATGCAGATTAATCTCAGTTTAATCTCAGTTTAATTTGCTTCTCTTCTCTTTTTAATTCCAAAAATTAGAGAAAGATAAAGAGAAGATTTAAACAGAGATTAAAGTTAATCTACATTGGTAGAAATAGACATTATACATATAATTTATAGACTCGCAATTAAACGCTCGAGTTTAATGTTTATACAAGATTATCGAGATCCGCTGGATCGCCGTACATCCATATATAAGAATCTTAATTTTTCTTTTAACCAGAAACCAGACTTGATCGAGCACTTGAAACATGTTTGCAAAATTTACAAGTGGAATCTGCCGGACCCCCTAATCTTCACGAGAGCCTTAATCGATTTTCTGCTCTGCATCAAATGGCCGAAGATATGCTCGTAAAAGTTTATGCCAAATTAGCTCGTAAAACCATCTTTCAAGTTTCCGATAAATATCTCGTAAAAGTATACTGAAAATTCACTGAAAATTCGATTCTAAATTTAAAAAATTTTAAATGTTTTTTAATATAATTTACATTATTTTATTACATTTATTTTATAATTTAATTTATTTACGATCAAAGTTTGTACTAATAATATCAAGTTTACGCATTAACATTTACGCCAGAAGCAACGTTTTACATCTATTGCATTTACTTTCCTGCGAAATGGGCTGTCATTAGACTTCTTTTACGACGCAGATATATCGTTTCTCCAGAAGAAACTAATTTTTGATATCGCAAGATTTGTCACCGATAGCGTGAGCTGTAATTGAATTAGCGATCGCAGCAATCAAGGCAATATAACTCTCACGAAGATTCGAAGCAATCTAGCGTCCATTCTTCCATCTAGGTTTCGTATCATAGCAGTGTAATTCAGAATTTACGAAATATAAAGGGTCCACGTAATGTAATGGCGTCCTATTTAACGGTGAAATAAAATGTGTACATAAACGACTGTAGAATATAAAGGTAGATGTATGAAAGCCAAAGATTAAATGGATCTTCATTAAAATGTCGTCAATCAAAATGTTGTCGCAAGCGGATGCTAGTTTTTCCGAATTTAATGCTACCGTAGGAAACATAATACATTTTCGCGCACATTGGTGGTGGCTTTTGTACGTTTATTTTACTCAGCGTTATCAATTTTTATATAATTCAGTCATCCGAGTCTACAGTTTGCATGTTTTTACGTGATAATAAAATAGGCTGGCTTCATAAATCATGATTTAACATACATTAGTTTATTTATATTCGTATCACACATTTTGCGCTAAATGCGTATATCTGATATTCCGATGATCCGATCCGTAATAATGCGATGGCAGATACGATCTTCGTATAAGACAAGGAAAATTCCGGATCAAAGATAGACGCGTTTAGCGGTAAATGTGCGGAATACGAATATAGGTCGTCCTGTCTCTGATTAGCGGCGCATTTAATGCTCACCTGGTCATGCAATTCAAAGTTCCATCTATGTAATATGAAGATCGCGTTTATGCTACTAGTTAAATATAAATGAGATAGCTTCGAAATGTTGCCATTTAGTGGAAATGTGGACTTAATTGACGAAAGTGCAATGCGCGCGAGGCTACATTACGTATCACCGGTGAGACATACATCTTTTACCAAAGTATTCCCGTAGAGAAACGAGTAGACATTTTTTATGCGAAATGACATTTTAATTTTTGAAATTACAAGTTAGTTATAAATTTTCAACATTTTTTAATTTTCTCTCATTTTTCCTATTTATTCTAATTCTATTAACGGAATTACATAATTTATTTCTTTGATGTAACAATTAAAATAAATTAGAATAGTATATTAATTTTTTATTACAAAATCGACATTTAATTTTTATATGCAGAAAAAATCAAAGAAGTTATTTGTCTAATTATTTGCGAAGAGATTTATAACGTAGTGGCAATAGGTGTCGGAATCGGAAAAGGATAGAAAATAATTCAGACAATTTCAATCTAATCCTTCATTTCGACGATTACGAATTCAATTTCGCAGAATGAATTCCTATTCGCGAGTTTCCCGTTCCAATTAATTGCATTTGTTAGATGTACGTCAGATGATTTCTTCGTCTTCGAGAAGTAGCATTCTGATAAGATTCACGCATATATTTGGAGTAATAATTAGATAAGTTTACTTCCCACTAACTTCATCAAAGAAGTAATCCGATTTATTTAAGCATGCAAATAACGCGGTGGATGCTAAACAGATACTCTGTTTGCTGTACGAGTACGTTTCAGCTGTGCTTTTTACACCTTTAGCTCTTTAGCTCCTTTTTTTCCTTCCATCAGTCAAAGCAGATCCTTGAGTGTACGTTTATCTCATTTTAAATGCAAGAAATGTAGAAAGTAGTACAGTTGTACAGTTGAAAGAAGTCCATCTGCTATTTCAAAAACTTCGTTTCAAGAAAATTCCCAAGTGAGCTACTCGCACTTACTATGCATGTATGCATGTATTCATCGGCTACGCGTCGCTGTAAGAGAGGAGAGAGATAGATAGATAAATAAGATAGATAGATAGATAGATAGAGAGAGAGAGAGAGAGAGATGGAGAGAAAGCAGTAACATTTTCGACTAATTTACGATGCAGTTAGGTGCTCGAGGAGCACTACGTCGCGTCTTAACTCGATAAATTTGTCTAACGATGGACTATTGCCGAGAGAGACAGACAGAGAGAGAGAGAAACAGAGAGACAGAGAGAGAGAGAGAGAGAGAGAGAGAGAGAGAAGAGTAGA